ACAGGATACACCTCACAATCTAGTTCCTCTAGCAGAGGACCCTTCATACAAGTACAGCCCAAAGGGGGAATGTTTCTGTGCACTGAATTCCAGCTCATGTAAAAAAGGGACCAATGTGTCCTGGTCAGGACTTGTCTCAGCACCTTTTCCAATTACATCTTCACAGGATGGTTTTGTGCCCTCACAGAGGCTATTCCACCTTCTCAACAGCTTCTTTATGGCAGCATTCAAAACCTTATATGAAAACTTTGCATCTACTTAGAAAGACATTGCAAAACCTTATGCATGATCTGCTAGATACTTGCCAAATTCTCCTCCTGAGAGTCCAAGAGACTGTCCACAAGTTACACTATGCAGGGTCCATAATGCTGGCAGTAAACTGGCCCTAGAAGTAGGGCCTCCTTTCCTCCTCTCTATGGAAGGTATTTTACAGCTGTTACTTTCTAGAACTAAAGAAGGAGGGAAGATGGCAACCCATCATGGAGCTGAGAAAACCGAAGAAGTTATTTTGCAAGTTCAAGACGAGCATTTATGATAGTGCTGTCAGTCTGTGCCCACCTCTGCACGATGATGAGAACGTGTCACTAGCAGCAGGGGAAGCCGACAGTGCTGCAGGACCCACAGCACTTTAACCTTCTTGCGTGCGCGGGGGCACACGCATCCCTGGCATACAAGTGGCAGCATTGCGCTCTGCCTGCACACAGCACCCTGCACCTCGTCCGTGACACCAGCAGGGCTGACCAACACTACGCGCTCTCCCAGGAGGCTGCATCTCTATACGATGGAGACTGGCAGGTGTTGTCCTGGCCGCAGTCTCTGCTGAGGGTATCGTTTCATCTGCCTCCTTCGCCCAGGTGAGTCATGACACTGCTGTCTGGCAGAGAGCTTCAGTGTAGAGATCTGAGAGCTCAGGTCTGAATTTTGATGGGGAGTCAAAACTGTTCATGCAACCTGCGTGCGCTCAGAGCAACGCTTGGTGCTCCCTCCTTTGGGGGACAGCAGCTTTGGTAGCAAGGGCAGCATTCACACAGGCAAGCAGAACAGTGCAAGACCACGTCCCTTCCTGGGGGAGAACTGGAAGCTCTTCATTCAGCATCACATTCACCTGACTACAGCCTATACCCTCAGTTTATGCCTTGTATCCTTAACGTACTGTCATATGAACAGCACCAAACCACAAATAGGGACCGGAGAGTAGTATCTTCAGAGCCATCTTCGAGACTTGGGGCTCTTGTAGGTTGACTTCCGTTAGGCACACCAGTTAGTGCTACGCTTGTGGTTTGTGAATCTAACTCTTCCTTTGCCTCCCACGTAAACTTCTTGGTTACAAAATACCTCATGTCCACGTTTCCCTGTTTCTCCTACCCTTTGAGATTGAAGGTAATAAAGATGCTGCCACCAGTTGGGGATTGTCTCTCACCCAGATCCGACCTGGGGGTTCTGTGACCCTAAACGTGGAGAACATTTTGCTCCCACAGCCACATCAAATTGTTCCATCTGAGAAGACCACATGGCTGTCACCCTGAGGGCAGCAGGAGCCGTCAAGGTGGTAGTGGTGCTCTTTAGACCTTTATAATTTCAGAAAGGTTCTCTCGGGTTCACTGCTGAGTTTCTGCTCAAGACTGCCTCAATTTCACCTGAATTAGGTGGAATATTTTCCTCCCAAAACAACACTTGAGGAGGGAGGATGTCAAGTAGCTTTTGTCCCTTTACACTCAAAGAAACAAGACTTTTAGATGATGTTACTGCCAGAAAACAAGATGGCAGTAGACCCAGTCAAGCAGTATTATTCCCAAGGGAGGGCCAGCTCTGGTTAGCAGGATCCACACCAGAGCCCAGGCTGCAGCAGTGGATCTACTAAGAATTTCTGCCATTTTTAAAAATCTTTAAAATGGCCACTTAAAGCTCTAGTTGCACTTTGATCAGTCCCCACCCAAAGCAGAGGCATCCAAAAATGCTGCTGCCTTTTACAGTGACGTACCATCACCGCTCGTCTGCAAGGCAAGGTGGAAGGTGATCTGCTGAGCAGCTGGACTCCTTCAGCTCTCTGCGCACGTCCACCTCCTGCCTGCCTCCCAGCCTTTGGCACCTTTTTATTTCCTGAAACCCCCAGTGCAATGGGGGGCAAAGAATCCCAGCCCAGCCTGCACAGAGCCCCCAGCCACCAAAGACGACAGACACAGGGGCATCGTGCAGTCCCCAGGATGTGGCTCAGGCAAGTTTCCAGCTCCAAATGCCACTGACATGCCATCAGAGCACGGCTGGGCAATGGGGACCAGAAATCCAAACCTTCCTTTCCAAACACCTACACAGGACAGGGTATTTTACCTTTCTTATTTTCTGCTCAGTACCCTTTTTGCCCCCTTCCTGGTATGATTTGGCTTAAATATAATTGAATAAATTTTAACTAGACAATGTCATAGCATATGACCTGGTATTTTGGGTTTGGTTTGTTTGTTTTTCAGTGAGGCAACTAAAATCTCTCCCCTAAACATCTAATCAAGTGAAAAATAATTTCCTGATAAAAGTTAAGTTCATTACCTCCAGTTAATATTTTTCAACCAGCTGCGTGGTTATCCTTCTAAAGCATTATTACCCATGAGAGTGATGGCATTACTAAGTAGGCAACTATCTAAAAATTAATTTGGATTTGCATATCAAAATGGCTGGAAGAGAGGTAAGTCAGTAAAAAAATGTTTATGTGTCGGTAAAAAGTAATCAGCTCATACATGCTAAGGTTTGAGACATTGATTCAATGAAAGGAAGGGATGTACAAGTCCAGATGCTTTCCTACCAAAAAGCACATTCAAACATTGGGAGGAGAGCTGTTATGACAGTTTTTATCTATTTAAAGTTGTAACCATCTCAAGTATTCTTTGATATAGCAGATGTTAGGTTATTTCCTCTTGAGATTCACAATCTGACACAAATCAGCCAAAGTGGCCAGGAACCACAAAGAAAATTTCTGAAAAAGAATTTTCATGTTGGGAGACCAGATGTAAACTTGATCTTTCCTGTGGTTTATTTCAGTGAAAGAAAAACTTTGCTGTATTGAATTCTTACACTGGTAGATCTATAAATAAGAGAAGCATCTTCCGTATTACTGTATTGATGGAAGTGTTGTATCTTTTACTTTTTTTTTTTATAGACTCAAAACAAAATTCAGTGCTGCACTAAATTTATTAGTGCTGTTTAGACTGCCTCACATATGAAATAACACTACCTCTGAATGAAAAAAAAGTTACATAATGCATCAGCAGAAGTTTTCTGCTAAAAACTTATCCAAAAGTGAACAGAAAAGCTTACCTGTATTTCAACATTAGTTACCTCTTAATGTGGAATATAAAATTATCAAAGATTGTTTCAGAGTGACTGAAAATAACACTATCATTTGATAAAGTTTACTTACAAGAGAAAACCGTATTTCCAACTTCCTGCACAGCAAAATTGAGGCCCTGAGAAATTAAGAGTTAGGGTTAAAGTCACCGAAATAGGTCCTCCACCTCCCAAATCCCTGCTGTTAGCATTAGATTGCATTGCTACAAATTGATGTGCTTTAGTCATTTCATAGGTGTACTGGATAAAGCCAAATCACACGTTTTCAAAGCGTGAGACAACTTTATTGCTATTCCATGAGACGTCAGATTCAAAACTAAACAAAATAAAAGCCAAAGGGGAGGTTCACCTTCTGCTGTATGGCATGGAGCAAATAACGTCTGGCTTAAGATGACTAATTGAAGGTGGTTGTATGGGACTGCGCAGAGATTTAACTTATTCAGAGGTTTAGAAATAGTAGGCCTTGAAGAACGTTCACCAGTTGGACCGCATGTGCAGCGACAGAAGCATGGCTGGCTCACCAAGTCACGTTTTACTCCACTTCATTCTCCAGCCTCTGCCTAAAGAATCAGTTAACACTTCGGTTCATGATTAAGAGAGACATTTCTATACAGGCCTGAAAAATCACATCAGAATTCACAAGCTGGTGTTGTAAGATAATAAAATGCTTCATTCAGTTAACGCTGATCCTAATTCAATACATTTACTCTTCAGTAACAATGTATTTTTTAAAAGTGTTCAGACTGGGGCGGGGGGGAGGTCAAGCAGGAACAGAGCACAAAAAGGAACTGTTAACACTAACCTCCCTACAAAATATAAAAATTTGCATTTGCTTCAATTCAGACTGCCTGATGACATGGCAAAAATTGCCTGTATGCCTTGCTACCATTTCTAGGGTACGTTGTGTTCCACTTGTCCTATTTCTTATTCTCTCTGAGCATCTGCCATTGGAAATGGTATAAATAATGCTCTAATTGTAGCTTTAGAGTTGTCCCAGCATAACAGTTATCCTCTTGTTACTCACTCTGATATAAATATAGCTTACATACGGGTTTGGGATGAGGCAGATCCAGCTACGTCTTCTGTAATGCATCCCAATCAGTTTTAGCTTCTTACTTCCCGAGCCTGTCATGATGCAGGTGAGAAAGCGAGCCTGATGAATAGGCAGTTCAGCCGAGCAAAAAATACCAGTTGGCACCCAGAAACTCTGGCCAGTCTGCAGTGTTTCGGAATGAGCTTCGTACAGACTGTGTGAATCGAGAAAAGCAACACTTAGATGGAGAAAGTAGATTTTGAGTTTAGCTCAGCATCCTGACCGTAGCCTGTCCGCTTGTACCAAGACGGTGCAATTTTGTTTAAGGAGTAATATGCTTATGCCAGAGCAGCATCCTCTCAGAAAACCATTTACTGTCCTGCCCGCCATAGAGGCAGCTCAGATTGCTGTTCTTTAAGATGAAAAGAAATCGGGTTGAAGCCTTGTACAAAATGCAACTGACTTTAGATCTTGTATTTCAAAGTATCAGAGCATTCAACTTCCAAAACACACCTAACAAAACAAAAGTGTTTAAAGGCAACAGGAGATGACAGCAGTCAGCACCTTACAGAAAAAAAAAAGCACCTTCTGGAACATAGACATTTTTAGAAGGCTAATCAGCACACTAAACAAAGGACCACTAGAAGTCAGTATTTAGACATTTATTTCAGATAGGCAGTTTACACGCATATTATTGAGCAAAACTGAATTGCAAATATACAAATACTGTAACAAGCATCAAATAACATAACTGGCACTAGTGTTATAAGCATATTACTGAAACTGGTGAGGCTAGGTCATGGAAGAGGACTGCAGCTGATGGCATTTTCTTTTTATCCAACCAAACTTCCAGTAGCACCATAATGGCAATACATGAAACACGAGACAGAACATTGTTAACTGTTATTTTGATATTCACATTTTTTTTTTTTTTTTCCATTTTAGTGAATTACTTAGCAAAAAAATGTTAACAGTGCAGGCGCTTTGGCCAACTTCAGCTTGTGTTCAGCTGTACATCTTCCATATGCAAAAGGAAAAGAAAAAGCCAGCATATTTGGAACCCATCTTTGCACTTGGGCAGTCATTGCACTGCACTTTGATTCTGAGACTGAAGATATGCATGTCTTGCAAAGAGATGTCATGTCCACTAAAGCCTGAGTGAGTCTTTGGTAGGCCAATACTTCATTATTACTATACATTTATCTACCACAGTCATTTTATTCACTAGAATTTTCTTTTGTGATCCAAGGTGGCCAAAGAGGACATTCTGGAAAACATTACAGTAAAATCCTCAAACGACCAGGCACTTCAAACCCAGTCTTTCCCGAAGGCACCAAGAATTGATGGGGTACCGTTTTCCCCCCTAATGAAAGGTGACTGCATCTGCTTTTCTACAATGCTTATAAATCACTGGATTGTTATTTTACAGTTTTTATACGCTATATAGTAGCCTTATCTGCTGCATGGTTGGTTGCGTGAATAAATAAGTAACCCCACTGTTCTTCACAGGTGATGTCTCCATTCCACCATATGTTAAAGTACCAATCTCTTCTGTTTCAAAATTATGTAAAATGCCATAAACACTTCTGACACAGGCTACATCCATCTGAAGATATGCGGTTCATTCTACATGCATTCTAAATAGTGTGTCCAGTTATGAAACAAAATTATCATTACGAATATTCACTGTTGAAATACGTTTGTATAGGTCTCTGCAAAACTTTTGCTTCCCTTAAATAGAGTTCACACAAGAATGGTTTTAAGTCACTAACGCTCAGCTAACACCCATTTATCCCAAACCCCATATTTTCCAAGTGAACAGTGCAGGACATATTATTCATTTCAGCATTTAACATATCAAGAATTTACCAATTTTTATCTAAATACACCAAGTATATGCTTTCAAGCAAAGTTGTGGCAAAAATACAAAACATGGACGTATTTGTACTGCTGTAATGCACTTGGTTAAAGCCTTCATGTCTCTTCACACAGGTCTAAGATCCATATGAAGTATTTTGCCTTATCAGACAAGTATATATAAAATGCAGTTGTATCAAAACCTTGCTTCTGCTGGTCACCTGAAACTTACGGAAGTCGCATGTAATTCAACCAGCTTTCAGACAGGGTTCATTAGTGGTACATATATTTTTGCAGCACTTATAGGCTTAAATTTCAGTCTGAATAGCAGTGCTTAATTCCACAGCATGTTGTGAATGGTTGTTGTTTGTTTCTTTCAGTGTTTCACCAATACCTAAATCTACATCTTTCGAAGATCCGTTATTAATGTTTTCCTCAGCAATGTTACTCAGCTGTGGAACATCAGTGCTTGGGGCTGTTGGAACAGGCGCAGGGATTCCACTTGGCTGGGGGGAGTTTTCCAAGCGATCATTTTCCACCTCTGGGAGAACACTGACTGTGGTAAAGCGAGTATGATAGTCGCTGGAACCATGGCTACAGGAAGTTTTCATACTTTCCATATCTGAGCAACTAAACTCGGAAAAATGACTCGAGTGCGAATCTGCTACGGATGGAATACTATCACTAAGAGAGGGAGAGTCAAATTCACTGGAGTTTGTGCTTTGTTGTTCCAACAGCTGAGCATCCATGTCCTCTCTTGTCTCATTTATCTTCATGCTACTCTTCTTTCTCAGCTTACCTTTACATTTTTTTCCTGCTGTTGTTTCTTTGGACCACTTGGTGGCACTAGATTTACTTTCTGGCAAGCAGGATGATGAACAACCGGCATTACTACGACCTGCAGCACTGCCATCATCAACACTACTGCTTCCACTGTTGTGTCTGAATTTGGCTGGCTTTGATTCAATATCCACTTGCACTTCCATACTGTTGCCTTCCCTAGAACAAAAAGAATCCGTGAGTGCAAGCGGTCATCTAAGATAAGCCAGCTAACCCAGCAAAACAAACTCTTATTGCTTTCCAAGACACATAGCAAAAGATAGTTAGGGAGATGTAACTTCTTTTAGAAGAATTAAGCGTTTAACCAAATAAACAGCCCAAAGAAAAACACAAAGTCTGAAATATCAAACACTTTACTGGGCTACAGCAATGGCATTCCTCTTCGGAAATCACCTTGGCAAATATAAGCAGTCACATGTAATTCAGTTTGTAACAAAATTTGCAGTTTCAAAGGGTAATCATTGAAGTAGAACAGCTGAGCCATGCTTAGAATACCCTTTAATAAGCAAGGCTTATCAATCTTCTGTTTTCACCACATTTCTCTTACCTGTCCAAAGGGATGTAGGAGTTCAGAATGGATCCCGCCATTGCTTTGGTACTGGCATTATCACTAACTGTTCCCAAGCTAACTGTGCCAGATTCTCCACTCAGGCTGTAACGTTCTTTCTGCACATCTGCTTGTACTTCCAGTCTTGGAGAGAAAGAAAGAAAGTTGCATATACTGCTGCTACAGTTAAAGCACACTAGTTGAAAATTAGTGTCACCTTGTAGAGTTTCTCCACCATTCAGTAGTTAGGTAGAGTTTCTTAGTTACTCCAGTACAGGTGCACATATTTACCCTACTGAAACAGGTTCTCTCTTCCCACTGTCAAAAATTACTACTTTCTGATAAAACCAAACTAAAAACACCCTAAAGCAAAACCAGATTAATTTCCCAACAAAGCAAAATGTTGCGTGTAACCAGAGGTTCTGGATTCTTTCCTCCCTGAGATTTACAAGAACAACTTCCAGGCTTAGCTACAATTCTTTTGCAGACAGTGTACTGTACTCTAAAAATGGAAAAAACAATCAGAAGGGTACATAAGTTCAAGACAACATACTTCCCCTGTTTCTCCAGCTGCAAAATTATTACTAATCAAATAACAGGCAGAGAACTGTGTTCTGTACTCTGCTTTATATTGTATTGTTATCAACTGCAACAGGAATAATAGAAACCTGAACAATCTTAAGTTGGGCTGAGCAGATAAACCAAATCAAATTATAAGCTTTTTTCCAAATGCCTTGTTTATTTATGTTCTGACAGTGAATTGGTAGTGTTTTTTTCTTTTGTTTTCCACTCCCAGCTCTTTAAAGAAGAGGATAGGTATACCTCACTCAGCAGTCACAGCTTGAAACACATAAGGAAACTCTTGCTGCTATCCTGCCCTCCTTATTCTATATAGCCTGGACTTCCGATTTACTCAAGAAAATGAGCAGTGTTAGCCCCTGATTTAAAGAGCAAATTCCATCCTGAACCCTAAATGTTAACAATCCTTTCCAGACACTCCCTTTCTCTTCAGGGTGCAGGACAGCCAACAAACAGTAAGGCCCCAGTTCACAGGAGGCATTGAGCACTTAAGTGCCAAGAAGTTGCCACCTCGGCAAGGCCAGGTGCCCAGCTGCCTCCCCTCCTGCCTAAGTCCACTGTGAATCCACACTCCAGCCAGGTGTTCTGAAGGCACAGTTTAGTACTTGTACAGTACTGAACAAGTCAGCAGTTCCGACTCTGGGGTGAGATGCACCGGAGAACATGACTGTGTTAGACATGGGATGCCTCCCTCTGACTCCTGGGTAGAGGCTGCTCTCCTGGGAAGCAGGAGAACAAGATCTCAGGCCCCACTCACCCTGAAAAAAATTCAAACTCTTCTTTGAGGATTGTGGTCTGGCAGGATCTCTTGGAAACCAAGAAGTTTGTCAGAGATGAACTGTCTCTATCTCCCAGAGACAGTTCCTTCTAATAGGAACCAATTTAAAAAAACAAAAATAAAAAAAACCTAGTAATACCACTTCCTCTGCTTACATGTAGAGCAGGATACCGTACGGCAGAAAGCATGTCTCTTACCTGTTAAAGCAGTTAACCATTGCACTTCCTGAGAGACTCCCTGTTATACTAGCCCCAGCCAGGGCCATGGTACTAGCGGTTTCACTTAGGTTGTCTCGAATGGCTCCTATTCTATCCATGTGGCTACCACTCGCACTCAAGCTGCCAGTCAGTCCTCCAACGCTTCCTTCGCCTATGCTAGGGTTATGACGTGCCTCTGCTACTGAAGTGGTATCTAGACAGAAATAAAGAAGGCTTGTCAGTTATGGAAGTAGAACTTAGTAGTTTCTAGAATGTGACCATGGAAACCGTTCCTGAAATTACACTGAGAAAAAGGATTTATAAAACACACTGTGACAAAAAGATAACTTTGTCGGGGCGGGGGGGAAGAGATACTTTTCTTGAAGTTGCTATAATGGTTATGCCTGACATCACATACTTAAGATACCAAAAAGTTAACCATCGCTAGGACAGGTAACATGGAGCCAAGGAAAACAGAGAGACCCTATCACAAAGGATACTGCCACGTAATTAAAATAAAAATAGCACCAGATCAGCATTTAGTTCCCCCTATTATAGATAAAAAGATGAAAGCCAGCAAGTTTCCACAAACCAGTATTCTGAAAAAGCAGCATTTAATTTTATCTTAAAACTTTTACCTACGGAAAATCGAGTCTGGCTTTGATTCAAATGGACGAGAAAAGCTTTAATGCTTGTATTACAGCACAGCATGAACACAGAGAAGCTATCCTCATCTGAAAGCTGGTCTTTCAGCAACGAGCGGAGATAGTCCTAACTGTATAGTACCTCTTCTGCAAATATGTATTCTAGTATCTAAGGCCATCAAATATAAATCACAAAGCCCAAATTTACAGAAAATGAAACACAGAATTTTCTTACCTACAGCTGCATTTGTTCCACCAACGTTTATATCATTTTCATCATCAAATTCTATCCTGACACCTTTTCCGTTGCCTGCTGACACACCACAGCCTCCACTTCGGCAGAGGGAAATTGGAACAACTCCATATACGTAAGCCAGCATAATAGGAACACCAATACCTACCGAGGAAAGCACAGTCTTTCATTAAATGTGACTTCTATTTTAGAGCCTTTCATAAAAGTTATTTCATTTTCCATGATTACTTAATATTTCACACTTGAAAGAAATCAGGAGGGAGCAAAATTAAGAAATATTGGTAAATCACTAAGGTGAAATGACAGGAAAGTACTTTCAGCAGGCAGAATGTCCTCTATCAGCATTGGTAGGCAGAAAAGCTTAATGCTTGATGAATTAATACTTCCAGTACGTCCATAACATCTTTTACAAACAAAATGAAAATACTTTAAAGGTTCATATAAGCTCCATTGGGGACTGTGACAATGTTCCACCTGAGAAGCAGAAATAGCAGAGATCTACTTCAAATGTTACTCAACTAAAAACGTTATTACCTCTACTAATTTAATAAGGGGCTTGATTTTGCATCCACTGAAGTCAGACAGGGCTTTGCTATCAATTTAATAGGACTTAACATTATTATTACTGTGGGATCTTTCATATTTATTGTATCACACTGATTCAATTTAAAAATTTTAATTATACAAGTTTTCCTTAGAAGTAAACAATTCTGTGGAGCAGAGTGGTAGGAGTTAAGGGAAACCACTGAAAGGAACTGTGGGCTAAAGTGCACGCAGTTACACACACGCAACCATCCCACCACTTCTAGTGGTCTGAAAGTTACTCCTTTGGCATATGAATTAAACCATTCTATGGCTTTGCTGACGGAAGTACACAGAAGGTACAGAAAAACGGTAGACTGAAAAATGGCAAGCTGGCACATTCTGAAAAAGCCAGGACAGAGGCAGACTCAATGCAAAGAAAGGCTCCTCCGTCTAACCTAAAAGAAGGGCGCCAGTTATAAGAAGTCCCTTTCACTAGAAATTCCTCAGCATTCAAGGAGGAAATCCATATTCTCAAGGTCATTATTTTGGAAGCCATGTAATGTCCTGAGACTGGAGGCCATGTGTTAACGGCAACGGGGCAAGAGTGAAAACTCCACAAAATAAAACCCAACTGCTTTCCCTAAAAAGCCAAGTTTTATCTCTGGTCAGGAATAAGAAACAGCTTGAAAGAATGAGGTAAAGCAGACCTATAAATACATCTATGAGACTGTGTCCCACTGCCTGTTTAGTGGGGATCTGACACCACAGCTACATGAGAAGAATGCAATGCAGACAGACACCAGAGAGTTTTATGACTAGCATATCTGCATTTGCACAGTGGCCCACTGTTGTTAACAAGCAGTTTAGAGCAGCTTCATGGCCAATTTAAACCACCACTTGCTAAAAGTGGCCCTGTCTTCCTGAGGCCACTCATTCCTGTCTGAGCATTACTTCTGGCACAAGGTGGAACACTGCATACACAACTGCGTGATGAATCGGATCAGGGGACTGATCCAGCTTAAAACTAAATGGTGGGTCTTAACGTGAATCAGTTATCCACGGCAGCTTACTGCGCCACTATGAAGATGCCTGAGCTGCAACAAAGGAGAAGCAAGGCAGCACTGGGCAAGTCCACTCCTTTCAAAAAAAAAAAAAAAAATCAGGGTTTGCTTACAGTGATCTTGAAATTACATGGTAAGATGACAAGAATTTGTAATGTACAGCTGGATTTTCCTCAAATGCTATCCTCAACAATCGCTATGAGAAAGCATGTGATAGAATTCAAACTGAATCCCAGAGCATAACAAATAGTTTGTCAGCTACTGTCATGTTAAGTGCAAGAGACTGTATTTTTCTTGTGTTGAGAAAAGTTTGATATGAAGTTATTCAAATACGAATAGACTCTGTGACAACAGTTTCTTCTTGGTCAGTCATTTAAAAAAAGCTTTAAATACTTTAGTTTTAAAAGCCAGATATGACAATATGGAAACTTCAATTTGCAAGATAAAAATTATTTTTAATTCTTCATTTTAATGCAGCATTTCCTGAAGTACTGTATTCTCCATTCTGCTCCAATAAATGTATAACCTCAGACTCCTCATTGTCTCAGTTCCTTCACCTATAAAAGGAAACTACAGGACTTATCTCAGCTGTTTTATCCATGAGTACTTAGAGAGTTCTGGTTGCAAGGTGCTACCAATACACAAAATAGTAATATTTGCTTACCTACAGTTACTGCAGCTACAACTGGCGAAACAATTACAGATAAGGTTACACCACCTGCTATAGCCAAGTTTCGCTTGTGCTTTGAAATGTCTTTGCCTTCATATCGATTGTGAATCTTGAGAGGAGAAAAGAAGAAAGGGTTTTTAGAGTATTATCGTCATCAATAATATATTGCTGCAAGGATGGAAGAACTGACATATAATAGTTTGGAATCTGTACCCTGCTCTCTTCCAGAAAGACCACATTCTATGTCATGATTTATTCCTTAACTTATCTCAGAGAAACGAAAATTTATACATTTCTTAATTTTAGGCAACTTCTTAAAAGTTAGAAGTCCTCCCATCCAGCAACTAAGCATTTACTTTCACCTTCAATTTAGAAGAGCTAAATCATTGAACGAATTTTTTTGTTTGTTTAATCATTACACCTGCTTACGTGGTTGGGAAAAGCGGACCATTTTCAGGATCAAAGAATTACCACATCTGATCAAATTGACACTTCTGATTCCCAGCTATCTTTCCCCTGAGCAAGACGGAGTGAAACTTTCACAGATTATTAGATCCATGGAAACAGAGGCTGACATAACAGAGCCATGAAAATCTTGTAGCAAGGCAGCCTTCACCAAATATATCCTGGGAGGGGGGAGAGCAAGAACTCCATTGCTCTGGCACCCTCTCACGACAAGCTGTTGAGACAGGAAGTATTTCAGCAAACCTGAGTTTTAGCTGTGCTACTATTTACCAAGGAATCTGCTAACCAAAACCCTTACTGATGGTTCAAGTCTGCAATAACTCTGAAATGTGACTGCCTCAAATTTAGCTGCCACAAATCCCACATGAACCTGAAAGGCCTTCCAAGAGCACTGTTTTACAGAGATTTCCTACTTTTTGTGTTTCATTTACTCTCTCTAGGAACATGGCTTTTCAGGGATATGCACTTCATCTGTCATCATTCTTGGTTAAGACGTAATTACAAAGGAACAATAGGTCACCATTTTAATGGTTGTCATGAGGCTCAGTTAATCCTCACTACATCTAAGGAAGAACACAAAAGAGAGTACTAAGAGGATAATCACAATATTTTTATATCAATTTGCTACTGCAAAAAGAATGACAAAAATGAGCTGGAAGTTTTATTAAGTGTTGTGCTTTCTGAATTATAATTTCAATTAGAGATTTGGTAGGGTAGTTCTCTCATTTTGGAATAAACTTAAAGTACTTGTATTTGTTCAGGCAAGACAGGCAAGGAAAGGGCAGAGACACTGCACTTTGTATAACAAGAATGCATTTACTTGCTCTGAGGTACGCTATACAGAGAGCAACATGGAGTGAGGGAGCACTTGAATGTGGAACATACCTATGGATTAAAAAGGCAAAATTGAACGTGAACACTCTCACAGTACGAGCATGTAAGAATTACAAACCCAGGAAGATCAGGTTATATAGGGCTCTGTAAGCAATCAGCAGGATCACCTCAAGCACTGAATTTTACTGTTATGGGCAATTTTAACTACTGAAACAAAAAGCATACAACAAACAACGATATCTATAAAGGCTATTGGATTCCTTAAACATAAAGCAACAAAAAGGAATGGAAGGGAGTGGTTAGAGAGGAGAAACTGATTGAAAACATGAAGATAGAAGGTTACATTGGTAGGAATGACTATGAAATAAGAGACTTCCAAATATTGAGTAAAGAATAAAGAATATCCAAATAAAAATACTGGGCCAGAAGAAGAGGGATTTCCATAAATGCAGAAAACTGGTAGGTTACAAGACATATCTATAAAAAGAGAGGACTAGCACTTCTTTAAGGAAACTATCAAAGCACAAGCACAAATTCTTCCAATGCAGAAGACCGACAGAATGTTGTAAAAGAACAACAAAGCTTCCTTTACTGAAGCACCAGAAACATTAAGAAAATAGAAAGTAGGTCAGATTGCTATGAATGGGTATAAAGGAACAGCATGAGGGTGTCAGGACAAAAATCAGAAAGGTTAAAATAGAGGAGACAAAAGGCAAGGGACCTCAAAGTCAACAAGAAATTATTCCACAAGTACACTGCTAGTAAGAGGAAGACCAAAATGGACCAATTTGTTATTTAACAAAAAGGAAAGACAGCCAGCAGATGAAACTGGAGGCCTGTTCAATTTTTTTTCCCCTTCAGTTGTCACTAAAGATCAACTCTGAGCCAGGTGACTGGTGACAAAGGAGTAAGATCTTAAGAAAAACAGCAGGTTAGAGAGTACTTACATGAGCTGATCTGCAAAATATCTCAGCAGGCCCAATTTCAGAGCCCCTAATAGTAATTTTTGAATATTATTATTCATAGAAGGTGTCTGAAAAGAAATCAGGAAAACTGGAAAAAGTTAAACTGCAATGATAATCTCTAAAAAGGTGTAAAACAAGAAGCTGGGGAATTAAAGACCAGTGAACTGAACTTCCGTTTCCTCAAAACTGGGAACTTGTAGACGCCAAAGCAAATGCAGGAAATAAAGAGGCCAGACTGATTTTTTTCAAGTGGAAATCATGTCAATTTAATTTTCTTGTCTTACAAGATAACTAGCCTTGAGGATGGGAAGAAGCAGATCTCATGCACTGACTTGAACAAAATTTTCACATTTTCTTGTATGACACTCAACAGGTTGTAATGGTCCAGACTGAAAAATGGACTAGAGAAAACTACTATTAGCTTCATGTAAAACAGATAGAAAACATCTGAGTCATCGTTAGGTTTTTTTACTCCCCAAATTGAAACTCTTCACCCTATACTTTTCTAAGAGATATGCCCTGGATCCAAGAGTATTCAACATTTTCATTAACCTGGAAGATGGAAGAACAATGTGTCTGTTGAATTCCAGGCCAATACAATCTGGCAAGGTTGCAAGAATGCCAGAACTCATGCTAGTCTTGAGAAGTTGAAAAAATGGCCTGAAATGACTTAAGATGCAGCACAATGGTAATGAGTTCAAGACTACCCTTAGGAAGAGACCAATTGCCTAAATTACCAGTACGTCGGGGAAGGGTATGTGTTTTAGAGTACACGGAAGGAAAATAGCATGCTGTCGAGAAAAAGATAACTGGCAGTTATATGCACAGGATCACCCTTTCATAGAATCATAGAATGGTTTGGGTTGGAAGGGACCTTTAAAGATCATTTAGTTCCATGCACACTGCCATGGGCAGGGACACCTTCCTCTAGACCAGGTTGCTCAAAGCCCCATCCAACCTGGTCTTGAACACTTCCAGGGATGGGGCAACCCCAACTTCTCTGGGCACCCTGTTCCAGTGCCTCACCACCCTCATAGTGAGGAACTCATTTCATTTAACTTAGCAGTAGTAATGCTTCAGCTTCACTGCTATATTCAAACTGGACAAAAACAAAGGCAGTATGAACAACTGGAAAGAAATCCAGAAGAGAAGATGAGAATCAGAGGTCTAAACCAGCAAGTTTTCTTGACAGTTTGTCAAGAAAAATGGGAACGTGCTAGGTTGTTTTAGAGATAAGAATGAAAGTGGACTTAAAAATCATCAAATATGTGATGGGATATTGCAAAGCAAAAGGATTCTTTATGTCAGCTGAAGATAGGGCAGTAAGAATTTAGTGTAGGAAGAGAATTTATATTAATGTTAGAAAAATCAATTTTACTAAGAAAATTAGGCTTGGAGAGCCTGTGGAATCTCAATCATCAGATGTTTTGAAGAAAAGTGCAAACATGTGACAGGAGTCACAGAAAAATGACCATTAAGCAGTGGCGTACAATGGAAATTCTCATGAAGCTGCCCTCACAGGCTAACTTTCTGAGACTTTACCATTAATATGTGAAAGGGGCCCAGTGATGGGGACCTATCCCAAAATCTAATGAGAAAAGCAGAATACGCAATAGGAATTTGAAACAGGTAACTGCTGCCTTCTTCCTCTTATCATTTATAAGGTTCTAATGACTGTATGGGACGAAGGCAAAACAGAATAGCAGGATCAAAAACAACTGTAGCAGAAGGTAGGAGTACTTGTTTGAAAGAAAAAGATGAAAAAGAATACAGTGGAAAAGCTGCATCCCTGGGCTTTTTGTCTAGCAGCAACAGCTCACGTGAGAGAAACTCTCCCCCCTTCCCAATAAATGTAGAATTATGTGTCTGTGCCAGTCACTGTGAGAATCCATGCAGATAAAAGCAGAAAAACAAATCATCTGATTATGCCATCCAGTAC